GATATACAATCAAAATGTAATTTTAATATTATGATTTCTCACCACAACGTCTGTTTTGAAAATTATTTCAGATATACAATCAAAATGTAATTTTAATATTATGATTTCTCACCACAACGTCTGTTTTGAAAATTATTTCAATACAAATTGAAATAGAGAAACAGTAGATCCAGTTTGAAATACCAAATATAAACTAAACATATAACTGGTAAGAAGTGACTCATATTCATTATCCCTCATGTACAGAATCAATCAAACCGAGTCTGCAATTCTCTTGTCATTTTGTTGTGATTAATGCTTCCGAGGGATCACTTTGTTTCCAGATTTTTATATTTCACAACAGCAGGTGTCAAGTGTTGCATGGCAGCTGTAAAAATTGCCCCGTACTTCACTTCAGTGTTGTTATATTTATCTGGTCCTTCGGGCTCATTTTTGGCAAACTATTATCGTGTTGAGAACTGAGTACCGCTTCAATGCCGGTGCTAGGGGGCGTGAGGGATGTTTGCACATATCATTATCCCTCATGTACAGACTCAATCAAACCGAGTCTGCAATTCTTATGTAATTTTGTTGTGATTAATGCTTCCGAGGGATCACTTTGTTTCCAGATTTTAGCGGGACAGGAAAAGCAAACAGTGCGCAAAAGTTAAGCCTATTGAAAAGAACCAATGAATACCTTCTCACAGAGAAACATATACTGCGACCAGTGTCCATGATATTTCACGGGTGAGCTCCACAATGTATATAGGTGAAGGAAACTGTCGCGTGTCATCGATTCGATACCGGAAATCAAACAAACACGGTAAAACCAAAACGCAACCGAATAAACAAAACTATTGAAAGCCACAACTGCCACTAACATATAATGTTATATTTAAATTATAAATCAAGCAGATCAGTGAACTACTTTTCAAATGAATATATCTTTTATTGAAACAATGAAAGCACTGAGCGTACTAAACACCAGCAAAATAACAACATTCTTGAGTGTGTTGATACGCCAATAAGCAACTTTTATACTGTAAATTCAATCAAAATCCGACTGCGGTATATTGCTCATGTATAAGGTGTCTTTTAAAATTCCATTTCATTTAGTTCCGCCGATTTATTTCTCGTTTAGGGCACACGCATTCTTTTATTTAGGAGCAAAACGCCGCTTTTCATGGAATGACATTACTGTGTCATATTAAAGGTTCTATGATAACCGCCGTATGAACACAACTGCGGATGTTTCTTAATTCAATTTTTCAACATTTTCGTGATTAAATGTTGAATTCTGCTTAAGCCGGTGCTAGGGACTTGGATGGTAACTTGCACTATCCAGTACTGCCCATGAATAGGCTCAATCAAACCGAGCCTGCAACATTTTCAATTTTGCCGTGTTGGGCTTTCTTAGGGATTCAGTTTTCTTTATTTTATACCAGGCAAGTTGAAAAAACGTTAGTATTCTGATAAAACGACGTAAGATGTTGATGTAAATTGCTATCTTGAAATTTTAAACAATATGATACAATGTCTGAATTGTTCAAATATTCTAATGCTTATGATGGGATATAATAGAACAGTAATAAGTGCGAAAACATGCCTCGTTTTGAGAAATCGTTTAATATATAGTTTCATACTATCTTAATCAAAAGCAAGTGTTAAGAGTGTTTACCTTTCCATAGAGATAACATCTGAGTTATAATAATATTCCATATATATTTCTGATAATACCGGTTGGTTATGTAAATCTATTTGATAAAATTGATTTAAACCATAATAAAATTGCCATCTGTTTAGATTGTTCTCTTTTTAACATGATGCTGCAAAGATACACTTTGACTTTTTGATTTCCTACATCACGATTTTTAAAGTTTCTGCTTGTTAACTAAGTGATATAAGCCAGACATATTAATAAACAAGTGATGCCTGAATATAAAAAAGTATGGATAAATGTTATCTTTTAATTCATTTGCTTACTTCGTAGGTCCGGAAGGAGGGCTTCTTTACGATTTCGAGCTTCAAACTGGTTAAATATGACTTAAACAACTTCCATATTTTACGGTTTAAGCTATGGCCATGCCCTCTATCGAGCGATAGCACCACACACCATCACAGTCGGGTTATTCTAGAGATAGGGCACTAATTTCAGAAGCAAAAGGTCCGACATTTAAGGCATGTTGAATGTTCTTTCATCTAATTATATGAAATGGTTCTTTAAGGCCCATTTTTCCTAAGAAATGTTTTATTTTCTAACAGCATTAGGGTTTTGATGTCCTGTTATAATAACATAAAAAGTCATACATTGCTAATTATCTCAGCAATCTGTTGCCTCTGTTGCTTTTTTGCAGTAGGCACATTTATAGTGATTTAGTAATATGTTTGGAAGTCAAATACTACTTTCTTTACATATTTTCCTTCTTTAATGACAAGAAGTTTAGCCTTAATTCCGTCTAGATTAAAGTCATTAAGTATACTCTAAAAGCAAGTCTGAGAACGCCATGGAACTCATGTGTGCTGTTTCTAAAGGTGGTTATATTTCTTTTATTTCTAAGGCATTATATTCCTTTAAGTTATAACAAATTATCATGCAACTGCTATGGTAACTGCCCGATAACACTTGCCTGATAAATATTTTTGATATCAGGTCAGTAACCTGTTATCAAAAATTAGCCCCGCCCATTTTAACGGACTTTTTTCAATTGCTTAATATATTCTCATTTTCATCAGCATGTGAATTCTACAATGTAATCTCATACCCTTACAAGTCTTGAATCAAGATGCGATATTTAATTATTTATTTTAATTATTTTCGATTTCAATTACGAATAAATTAGATAGCGAATAGTTTTTAGACCAACAAAATAAAGTGACGTCATAATTTATATTGCCAAAACATCATCGATGTTCACGTCCATACTTACATGGTAATCATAACAAACAGGCTAGACGATTTTCTTTGAGAACTTGTTAAATGTTATTTTATTTCGCCAGATTTTATTTTAATAAGTGAAAAAAATTGTTTTGTTTAAAAAATAAGACACATGTTGTGTAGCTTGTGTTTGATTGCCGATTTGACTTTTTTTGATTGAAATATCGTGAAACTTTTGAATTTGACAATTCCAAGAACAAACATTGCAGTAAAGTTTAGTTTATGTGATTCTAAGGGGATTTTTGGATCGATGTTTAAATTAAAGGCGTAAATTTTTAATCGTATTTGGCCTACATTCTGTGAGTCGAAAAGAAAAAATGGGCCGCCATTTACAAATTCTAAGTTTCAGGGGCGGAGGAATTTGTTTTCAAGAATTATTTCTTTGAACAAAAAATTAAAATCCCCCTTTTTAACGAAAAATTCGCTATTTAAATGTAGATTATTTTGTTATTTATGACAGTTATTATTGTAATACATGATAAATAGAAAAACATGCTACTGTCTTTTGATATCAATTTTATCAGGCTCGGCTGATATGGGCAGAAAGGGCTCGGCAAGCCTCGCCCTTTCTAGCCCATATCAGCGTCGCCTGATAAAATTGATATCAAAAGACAGTAGCATGTTATTCTCTATTTATATGCAAAAGAAACAAAAACATGCAGTTGTTGCAAAAATAGAAAACATGTAAATGATTGTTATTTCTATGCAAATAATTCAATCATTAGACTTTTATATCTATGTATACATTATACACAGCTTTAAAGAGAAAATAAAAGGTTAAAGAAATAATAACGTACTTGCTTTCTATATATTAAAGTTTGCATATCACGATGTGAAACTGACGCACAAACGTCTGCGACTGGCTAAATGTTCACAGTTGTTCTTAATCTTGAGTTCCTATAAACAATTAACGCTTTAACCTCAGAATCCCTTTCAAAACTAAATTCCAATTTATTAAGTTCCGCCCATTGTTTTCCCGTTAAGGGCACACGCATTTATCTACTTGGGGTCCATATGCCGTTTTCCAGTAATTGCGCTTTCATTGTTCCATGATAACCGCCATATGAACACATCTGCGGATGTTTCAAAATTCCAAATTTTATCAGTTTATGTTGAAGGGGGCGTGAACGCTAGTAAGCACTTTATAGTACCGTCCATGAACAGGTTCATTTAAACCAAGCTTGCAACATTTTCAATTTTGCAGTGCTTTCTTTAGGGATTCTTATTTTCTCTATTTTAATTCAGAAAATATTAATTGAATACTTGTATTACTTGAAAATTAAAGCCTAGTTATCTTATTGAATAACAACATGCTGATAATTAGTGAAGATCACATTTAATAGACAGATGTTCACTGTTTACTATAACAGAAGGTCCCGACGGAGGGGTCTGCAATAAAGCTAAATTTATTGCAAACTATTTGTTAATGTTATATCTGTGCTTCGCTAGTTAGAAAGTTTTTAACAAGCATCAGTTATTCTTCAAAATTGTAATGTATAGTACCGATAGGTTAAAATAATGAAAACTCAAAAGGAAGATCGAAGTGTTTCTTGTTAATCGATACAAACTTGGTTTATATAAAAAACATATTTTTCATACTTGGTTTAACTCTCAGGGCAGGAGCAATTAATAAATAGAGTGACCAAAAATTATTAAAAAAGCCAAGCCATTTTTTTCTACTAATATGTTACAATGGTCGTATGTCATACTAATTGTATAAACACGTACAATAAATGAAGTAAGAGAAATGTTATATTATATCAACATCAATGGTTATAATATTAATTAAAAGGGGTCGCAATATCAACTCAAAGAAATTTGAGTCGCGTCTATTAGTTCAAAATAATCTTTATGCCTGTAATGGTAACTGCTGTTAATGCATAAAAATCCGTGTATTGTTTGACTGTTGTACCTCTTCGGAATAGGTTTTGTGACATAAAAAATCAAATACATTGCGATTTCCTTACATTTGTGCTAAAACTTAATGATAATAGCATACATATACGGGCCTCATTTTCAAACACACAAATTTTCCTTGAATAAATGCAACAGTTTCAAGAAAAGGTTTCAATCAAGAAAGCTTCTCAGATATTTTGTAACAACTTGCCCAATGAAAATGAGGGTATCACTGTTATTTTTATTTGTTATTGTCTTTGGAATATATAGTTATAATTTTACTGAGGCTAGAGAGCCTGTATGTTCTAAATTTGCATATGAAGAACAGCTTTTAGAGAAAATGATAAGGACCGAAATTAAGGTAGAAACTATGGTGAATGAAATTAAGAAAATTGAGGATAATGTCATACGCACATTAGGCGACATTAAACAAACAGTTGCTGATTTTATGGACATGTTTGCACAAAAGATAAGAGGAAACATAACGGACGAGATGTTAAAGAGAGGTGATGAAATGAACAGGAGAGAAGGTATAATAAAACAGTTATTTCACATCAAAATAACAGTAAATTAAACTTTTAAATGCTAAGTTTAAAATGATTTTTTTTACAAACTATTGCACATTTTTGTGTCTCAGTCAAGGGAACCAAATGATGAATTCAAAATCTATAATATTTATTGAGTTACCCCCCCCCCCTAGCGTGAGAGTTCCAAACTTGTGAGATTTACTACTTGCTTCCAGCTTTTGTAAATGACCTCTTGTATATATTGTATATAATGTATATTGACTTAGTTGAGTTTAATTTACTACATTGTTTTATGATTGTATAAATAAGATGTTATTTTACTGTTCTACCCAGCCAATTATATAGTGCAATTCAATTGGTGTTGTTGCTTCTCGTAATGATGTACTTAAATTAATGCTTTTTAATGGCATCCTTTCAAGAGGTGCATAACACATGTTAACCTAAAAAAAATTAATAGAATAAGAAATATACTTTATAAGTTGTGCATGTTTCTTATAATGTATAGTTTAATTTGTAATTGTTGGTTATATGGATCAATATATCTTTATAATTATTTATTGATTTGTTAAGTTAAAGTGATAGAAAAAAAGTACAAAACATTATATATCTGCAATATATAACTATCTGTAAACTATATACAATGTTTACAACTATGTATGTAACATAAATAACATTTAATGTATCAGTTTGTAAAAAAATGACGCATATGCCTATTTCCATTGCTTTTAAACATTAACATGAGCATGTAATGAATGCCATTAAGATATTAACGATTCATTCTTTACATGTTTATTTCCAATGGAAACCAAAATTTTAGCAAAAAAAAAAACAAAAACAAAAAAAAAAAAACATATTGAAAAATACCCTAGATATTCGGTTAGATATTAGTTAATAGAATTCTCACACTTTATTTCAGAATCGTTCAAAACATTATTTGAGGAAACAAGAATAAACCTGACTAGTGACATCGAGGCTGAAAAAGAGAAACTTTTTCAACTCCAAGGTATTGTAACTTATTGTATATCAATTGTGTTTGATTTCTATTTATCTATAACTAATTATAGCAAATTAAAGTGACATTATGTCCATCCAAGGATATATAGAAAGTGAACGGGTAAAAGTCAAAATAACTTTTCATTTTGCCATAATTCCTATTAATTTAATAATAAAGTTGGCATACACAATGAATAACTCACAGATCCAAATGTAATTTAAGTAAATATCTATAATTATAATTTTACCTATATCGCTTAGTTTATAAAAATAGTGGGACAGTCTTATTAAATATTAGACAGATTTATAATTTTACCCTAAACATTTTCCAATATCAACTGTTGATCAATCACCATTTTGACAGTCAATCTTTTGAAATACAAAGTAAATTCAGCTCAACTTGACCATAAAAATATGAGCATAATGTCACTTTAAATTATTGTTTACTTGACATGTTTCATCTTGGTATATCACGTGGTCAATAATATATGACAAATTATGTTGATATTTTAATTTGTTGCTCCATATGTAAATTTCTAAATGTCATAAGACGTCCAGATAATTTTGTTAACATTCACACATTCTAGGTTTTAATTATTTAAATTATTTAAACTCTATATATTGGCCGAATATAAATATATGGTTTTGTTGCTTGCATAGGCCCCTTGAGTTAGATATTTTTGATATAAAATACAAAAATGTTATTTCTATTCTCAGGAAAACTCGAACAACCTCCGATCGCTTTCTACGCACATTACGTGAAAGATCTGGGTTCTTGATACCTAAAAATGAGATTCTCATATTCGAGAAGACATTCACGAACGAGGGAATAGGTTACGACACGTCCACGGAATTGTTCACTGCACCTGTTGGAGGACTGTACCAGTTTTCTGTTCATACATGTGCTTATCATCAGAGATATGCATATCTTGGCCTGGTGTTGAAAAGTAACGTAATTGCACCAGATGCTAAATATGGTGATGACTCTAATTGCTGCAATACTTTTGGAGCAATAATAAGAGTTAGATCGGGAGAAGAAGTTTGGGTCAAATCAACATCGTCAGCTTCTAACCGCCAGCTTCAACAAGACTTTCATAGGATGAACACATTCAGTGGAGTACTTGTCAATTACTGAATTATAAAAAATTAATAAACATTGATGGGAGTAAAATCTGATTTCAGTGTTATAAGCTTGCATTAAACGTAAACGTTTTGATGAGAACTGCTCCAATACATTTCTTGAGACTCTTAATAACAGCAGTGTTTTGTGAAATAAGTCGAACATTGTCAATTTATCTATGATGTATCTATATATGTTGTGACCAATATTATTCATACAATGTTTTATTTTGCATATTTCCATTATTAGTTTATGTTAGTATCTTATAGCAAAAAAGACTAATTGAAATTTATTGAATTATTAAATTGACATTGTATATCTTATAGTCTAAGATAAACTTCTATTCTGTTCTACTCCTTAAAAGTAAAAACATTACTGAAACCCCTTTTAAAGGATTTCAAAGTACGTGCATTTGCACGTGCAACATTGTAAATATTTGATTGAAACTAATGGATTACAAACAACACATTTAATTGTTTCCATGATGTGTATTAAATGACAACCTTAACAAGTCTCGGTGGTAAGAGAATTACCATATCAGTAAATAAAATGGTGGTACTGGTATTGGTTGTCGTCTTGCTTTGTTATCAATCAGAACTAGAACCTTGACGTATCGGACTGTGAGTCATGCATATGATGCATACGCTTAAAACAAAAAGATCTCAAACATTTGCGAATTTCAATTGTCAATCTTCATTTGAATATGTCATTATTTTTGTGATAAAGTTCACATTACCGTGCAAACATCATGAAACAAACATGAAAATGTTATATTTGTAAAAGTTTAAAAATCGATAATCAAACCAACGTTTCGAAAATAGAAAATCATCGGAGTACTTAGCACTTTTGTTAACTGTACATGACATATATCTAATTATATAAAACCGAGTCTGCCCACTATCAGCTATTTGCTTTGTTTTTATTGCTCTCGGGAAATCTGCCTTTTTCCAGATTAAGATACATATCAGCTACATTATGAAGTAGCGAATCGGCTCACTTCAGTTTTGTTATATCGTTCTGGTCCTTCGGGATCATTGATGCCAGCACTATCAAATGTTGAGAATTGAGTACCGTTCAAGCCGGTGCTAGCGTGCGTAAGGGATGTTGCATTTATTCAATATCCCTCATGTAAAGACTCAATCAAACCGAGTCTGCAATTCTCGTGTAATTTTGTCTGTGATTAATGCTTTCGAGGGATCACTTTGTTTCCAGATTTTCATATAGATCTTATTCTGGATGTACTTGTCCATATATCTCTTAAGTATCTTATGTAACGAATTAATGATATTAATTTACTTCCATTCACTTAAAATCCTTGTCCAATCTATAACTTGCAAAGTAATAAGCCCTGCGTTTTATTACTAGATAGAGCCATTGTCGTTAGTCCCTTTGTGGCCAGTAGTAAATCCCTTATAAATTTTGATGTCACATAGTAACTCGTGCTCAAGACTTAGTACCTCCTGCGTACCTCTTACTTTGTAACTCGTGCAAATGACTGAGTAATTTGTGTGCACGACACC